TTTATAAATCAAACATAAAACATAAAAATCATCTCTCTCTCTCTCTCTCTCTCTCTCTCTCTCTCTCTCTCTCTCTCTCTCTCTCTCTCTCTCTCTCTCTCTCTCTCTCTCGCACTCTCTCTCTCTCTATATAATATACATACACACACACACACACACAACAACAACAACAACAACAACAACAACAACAACAACAACAACGATGGCTAATGCGCACATGAACCTTTCTTTCCAAAACCAGCTTCTAAAGTTGCTGTCAGATCTGACCATAACAACTGGTAATAAAAACAACTTTATTAGGACAGTTCGTAATATTCAACACTGGAAAATCAGTGAGAGCGTTCCTTCTTCGTGCCTTTTCTTCTCTATTCCCTGTCAGCGTTATTTAATGAGGAACGATTTCACTGGTTGTATTTAACAAAAACACATGTTGTAAAAGTGTCTAGCATCCCTGTAGGCGTCCGAAATTGATTAACCCTTTTTAATCCCGGGACTATTGTACACGCTAAAAGCTTTGAAAGGAGTCATTCTCATCGCAAAACCATGTTTATATTTTCTTATTACATTTGTTTACAACTGGCTTGCTCTTCATCATGTTCCTTCTGTTGCAGATCAATACCGGACATCGTTTTAGGGCAACATTGCTGTATTGTCACAATTTGGAATTGCCAGAAATTGTCCTTTACAAACATCTGTTTTCAAAACTGATTTTCATGATCCATTGATATATTCGTCATCCCTGTTATGCCTTTTCTGCCCGATGGAGTCTCCTGTCGAGCGGATTCTCGCAATATTCATTTCCATGTAAGGATGTAGGTTATATTTCGACTGAAGAATTGTTGCAAGGACTGAAGGAAGATACTCTATATATAGGTTAAATTAGATCAAGCAAAGGGAAGCATTGAATGCATAAATTCACACACTGACACATTGCAAAACTGGCCAGCATGGACTCCACTAGCGGTAGCTCCCCCGTCGTTAATCAGGATCAAGATTACAATACATCTCATCATTAGGAAACATTCTACTACCATCCAAGTCTCCGATAAACCGCATCAAGAAAGCAACCCAGCAGGAGCTTGTCACCAATCCAACGCCAATTAGCTTCAAGAAATGATCGGAAATTGTTGCCTTGTGGTGGTCAGAAGTCATCATGTCGAGGCAGTACTGGACAGTAGCGCACAAATGGCAAACAGTAGGCATAATTGGGTCGGGGAATTAAATTCGACGTGACGCTAATGATCTCAACAGATCAGAACAGAACGAAAAGATCACTTGGTATTAAACTGTATGACCATCAAAATCAACGAGGCACGAAGAGCTCGGTTAAAACATTTCTTAACGTTCTTACACCCTCCATCTTTCATTTTATTCCGAATATTCTAACAAAAGCCAGAAACGTACATTAACCTTTAATCCATTCCTAAAAGGAATACCATGTGTGAATATTTCCTTCCTAAAAACATCACATCGAATAAGTTACGAGATTCCCAAATACACATCGACACTGAAAACAAACGAATTTTATGGACGTACGATTGCAACCCGTTTTATTACAGTATAGACTATAGACATCCAATCAGTGAAATGTGAGTGAGTGAGTGAGTGAGTGAGTGAGTGAGTGAGTGAGTGAGTGAGTTGGGGTTTTATCAACTTTTAGCAAAATAGTATTCCAGCAATATCACGACGGGGGACACTAGAAATAGGCTTCACACATTGTAACCATGTGGGGAATCGAACCCGGGCCTTCGGCTTGACGAGCTAACGCTTTAACCACAAGGCCACCCAACCGCCTCCAATCAGAGAAATGATTGTGTCAAGTATAAAACGAGATGACCTCTTCTCCACATCAACCTGATGTTGAGTTACGTTTTGCAGCCGTTCTTACCGAAGACGTTAATCCTTAACTGCACCACATCACCTTTACCTCTCATAACGTTCATCTCCCATCGTCTCACCATAATACTATTGGCCAAATTAAAACGCAGGGTATACGACAAAAGCATAGAGGAGATGGTTTCTTTCCTCTCATTTGTTCGTTTATAGCATCATAATTAGCCATATGATGTGGAGCATACTAAATCAAGTGACTTGCATCCATAGGTGTTCAGACACGGATAAATGTTTTATGTTATGACAGTAGATAACCAGTTTAACTGTTTATATAATTTCATTTGTCTATTTCACCACACATTCTTCTTACCGAGTAACTTTCTCAGTTCGATACTAAAAAGCAATGTCATTATTTAGCGTTGACAGAATTTATAACTGTGATATAGATATGTCGTTGTCACAGACAAAACTCATTGTCTGTTTATTGACACCTATGTGTCTGCCTGCCCGTCTGCTAATGCCAATATTCAATACACAACTTCGATCACTGCCCACATGCAATTTGAACTTAATCAGGCTCTACACCATAAACAAAACGCATTGATTTATGGCCCGAGTTCGGTCTCTGTCACATTACGTAATTACACAGACAGGCAGGTGTGATAATTGTACACATGACATATTATGATGTCTGTTGATTGCAAAAGGTTATACACAAAAAATGAGTATGTATTTACAAAACCCAACATCTCTATATACACCCACAATGAGCCGTGGGGGCATCGGCAAATGAACCAGCCAATGAAAGACCTCGTTACACTTGAGTGCACATCCACCCGCTCTGACTGGGTTCGGTATCCCGGGTTCTTCGTTTCGAGGGAAGTTAACCCAAGTACAAACTATTGCACTTTTGATTTGCGAATGTACGCTTATATTTTGGTTTATATGTTTTTTCATAATCAGTAATGTATATTATATGTCATGAATAAGTGATAATTGTGTTTTAATCATGTTTGATTTTTTGGTTGCACGTGACTTTTAAAGTGAAATGAATGACAGCGACGTTTCGTCGTAGGTTCTAATAACGTTATCAGGCAAGTCAATAAGGATTGGGTGGGGTAAGGAGGTGTTTTACAGTATAATGGGAATGGACTACAATAGCATGGGCAAAGCCAGTTAACATCATAGTGCTTAAGATAGATAGTAAGCGCTAAACGTGTGAAGCCTGCAGTGTAAACAAGGGATAGTGAGGTCTGTAGTATATGCAAAGTGACCATAGCTGATGGTATGCAGAAGGTATTTCTAGCCTTAGTCACGGATGACTGATGGTTTGAGTCTTTGGATGTAGATAGCTTCTCGGAGTTTTCTGATTTCAAAGTCCTTGAGATTATTTGTTAGGCTTTTGATTCTGCCCCCCTGGATGTGGTCGGGATTGTCTCTGATGTGGTCTGATAGGGCCGGGGAGTCAAATTTTGATACGAGGTTTGGATGTTGTTGACTGGCTTATGTAGGTGAAATATCCAGACTCCTCACAACTCGAATGCAAAGATTAGCTGATTTTGAAACGTCAAAGAGACTGACAATTTCCGTTCAAGTGCGTTCATGAGACTACATTTGGTGTAGGCGAGGTTGGAAAGCCCCAACATTTCTTCTAAAGAACTGAAATGAAAAGATGCCTCATAATCACAAAATTTACGAATTCTTGTAACATCACAGAGACTGACGCAATCCGTTCATGAGACCAGTTTGTGAAGACGTGTTTGAAAAGCTAAAATAGTATCATCGATTATCTATTCCTGTCTCTGGAACTGAGATATGACGTGTTTTAATCACATTCCTCACCAATTTTGGATTTCTGTCTGTTTCCTTGATTCCCCATTTCAATGCGTAAAGAATTTACGATCGTTATAAGCATTTCTTTCCATATTACCCTCTTGATATTGCATATAGTTCTTAACATCTAAGCCACGACCACATGTGTGGCTGCTAAATTACTACACGTACTTCCAGACAATCAAAACATTTAAAACTGAAGGGTGATGAACAACGATTGACAAAGTCATTCTGTGAGTGTATATTGGCATATTTGTGGTTCCTTATTGAACGGGTTTGTCTCACAAATAGAAATATAGAATCGAAATTGCAGTGTTTTATCATCTTCCCGTCTGGTTCTGTTCTAAAATAGATATTAATCTTTACTACACTCTCCAAAGACTTCTTGTTACAATGTTTCTGCTAAGGCGTTTACGAAAAGGCGCCTGACCTGAAGTTAAAACGAATCTTGATTTACAGATGGAAATTGAGAAAGATTGAAATACATAACGAAAATTGGTCATCTAATGTTATTTTGGTTCGAAATGTATGAGAAAGGAAGACTCGTGTCTCATTTGTTCAATATATATTTTCAATTTATTTGAATCTTTCAGTAATCGAATAGATCGTATAAACTGTGGCCTCTGTCTGTCCATAATACCGGCATGTCGGCTCGACCTAGGGTAGCAATGTTAACATGACTCCATCGATGAGTCATGCGTGGAATTGTATAAAAACAAAAGCAGACAAATTCGTGTGGAGGAACAATAGTCTTCAATGTGGCTACACGTTTTTACATGAAACTGTTGACCATAATTTAGTGCATACAATGTTAGGGAAATATAGAAATAAAAAGGTTTATTTGTAGGATGAATCGACTTCTTCTGCTCTTACCGGACCACATTTGACGACTTGAAAAGTCAACAAATTGCACGTTTTTTATTTCGTCTGGTAAGAAGTTTCTTTTGTTCCTTTGAAGTCCATATAATAGATATATTACTGACAAAAAAGTTTAACAATTTGATTTCCTTTTCTTCATGTAACATAATGAACACGGAAGTAAAGACATGTTATGTTTAAAAAAATCTCCATTTCTCAAAAGAAAGTTCTTCGTATGATGTCATGGCCCGACCAGCATAGGTGCCACTCAAGGTTTCCCATGGAATATGTGTGGACAGGATGTCAAGGCCCGAACACCACAGGTACATTGAAATATAAAACGTGTAAACTGTAAACGGTTTTGGAAAACAGGAGCCGAATTCATAAACAATCGAAATTCTAAATTTCCGTAAGTTACCTGAAACATTTCACATGCAATAATATATATTATGACACTATTGCTTTAACTCTGAGAGAATTTATGTCTCCAACCCGTGCTACTTTATACGGCATGAGAAATGCCATATGATTACTGACAAGCACTTGTTCACGAGCTGTACTGTTTCTGTTCAAGAACTTTATGTTCTTGCTAGGTAAAATATTTTTAATTGGCCCATAATTATTATTACCTCCCCTCGCTTTATATTATTCACTATTACTGAACATTCTACATGGACTACGATAGATGCAATGGAAAAAATGTAATGAAATATCTCTCCAGTAACGCTGAAGATTCAGTGGTAGTAATTCAGTCTTGAGTATTCATTTAGGAACAGTATTTAGGATAATTGTATTACCATGCTTCCAAACCCAACACTGATGATTAAATTGTTCCTGTGAATGGCGCCCACTTTGAAGGGCTCAGACATTTCTCAGGTCACAAAAATATCCCTTGAGAGGTCTTTCACGTAGTTTTATGAGTAAGTTTAGTACTAAACATCATGTGAAGATATTTCTTGGATATTTCTCGGTTAGAGCCTGCTGAGTGAGCACTCCGTCAATGATTTTAATAATACGACTCAGGTCATGTCAACGTCTAGTCAGATTAAAGCATGACAGTTACCTCGAGTACTCCTAGATTGAATAATACTTTCGGAACTAAATATTCTATGAATGACTCAAGGAAAGTCATCTCTTAGAATGGTCTCAGACGTAAGACTTTTAAACACTCTACTCCTTATGAATGCAACAGAGGTTTATGTCAAATTCTAGTCAGAAATGACATATAGAACAATATCTACTCCGTCTGTGTGTGTTCCACGACAAAGATAAGCGATGTAGAATGGAAAGTATGCATGCATATATGCATATATCAATGCCAGTTACTGACTTCACATAAGTCAAATCCAATTTGCACATTCAGTACATAAAATATAATTCATGTTAAATGGCGGTCAGTCTTAAGTGAAAATTTGTTATGAATATTATACCTGTCACGTAAACATCAGGCGATATCAAATGTCAATTACTCGCTTGGTGTTTTATTCAATCATACTTGATTACTGCTTCTAATCAATACAGAATTCTTACATCTTGTCAGTTGCGCTTTCTCTGGAATCTGGGCTATGGTAAAGCACTACATATGTGTAACTTTAATGAAACTATGCTGAACACATTCCAAGCCAAAGTGCTGTGTGTAACAACTTTATTTAACGCCGAAGACACCATCAGGTGTCTCCCCAAGACATGATCGTGATACTGACCTTCCAATATGGGTAAGCCATAAAAAGTGTAATCTATCAAATTGTCTCCTTCAGTGACTCTGAAAATTTGCCCGAAATTACACTGCCTCTCTTCAACCCTCGCCATCGTATTCAAGCGAGAAATCAGTGAAGGAAATTATATGGAGGAGGTTTTGCCAACGTGGGATTAGTGGTTTTTTTTATGCAGTGGCACCTCAGCTTAGAACTATCTTGATTCCGTTTTTAAAACAAATGTTGAGACGTTTTTGGATATTTTCATTGATAGGCCCCTGAAACTGAATGGTTATCCAGTTTATTCCTTCAAAAAGATTTTGTTTGTTATTTTACGCCAAATTTAGCAATATTCAAGCCATATAACAACTGTCTGTGAGTACTCGAGTCTGAACCAGACACTCCAGTGAAACACAGTCTGTGTGTGCATCGATGTATGCAATTAGGATACGATGTCATGGTCAAGCAGGTCACCAAGCCTGACCACCCGATCGCCTTTTACGACAAGCATGGGTTGCTGAAGACCAATTTTAACCCGGACCTGCACGGGCCCTTCTAAAAGATTCCAGATGCACATAATACATAGATGTCTCAGTATCTTATACATTATATGTTGCAAATGGAATGGCTGCCTTTTTGCAAAGTAGTTTACCTTTCTCTTGGAATAAATATCTCCAGAATACTTGAAGGTGAGTTAATGAGTGTTGTTTGAGACTACAATGTCTAAAATGACGCTAACGTTAAAGGTTATGGTCGAAACTGGCATACACCTCAGTGACCATGCAAATATCTTTAGGTGGTTGTTACGGACACCTTGCTGACCCGTAGTACTCGTAGGAGAATCAACAAAATTTGCTCAATTGTATTACAAAGCACTCTCCAGCAACGTAATGGGGGCCTGTGAATGATATAGTCTGGGTCTGACCGGTAGGCCAGGGCATCTACGTAAGAAACATGAATTCGAGAACGTATGGTACAAGTCAAAATAGTTAATTGCATTGGACGCTCATTTTTGTCTCTGAAACGTTTTTACAAGAAATCCACGCTTTCCCGTTGTTTGTATAAAAGCAAGTTCGTGAAAACCAGTGCAATGCACCATTTGTGTTTGTCTAATTAGAATACTTATGTCATGAAATTATGTCATGAAATTATGTTTAAAAACCATGCCATTAACGGATACCCTATTTTATAGAAAAGAAACGTTGAACACTCTGTCGCTTCCATTTCAGATTAGACATCAGTTGACAGTACTTTGACAATAACAGGAAATTGAATGCCGGCGTCATGGAGCTAGCTATAGGTCTGCATGCACGTTTGCCAGTTTAGCAAAGTTAAAATGATACAGTTGCACATAACACTTTATGAACATTTTAGCATATATTATATAACATACGCATACATAATAAGGAACATTTCCACAAGTTTGGCTCCAAAAGTGATTTTCTCTATAAATGTATCCTTGGCAACTGAAATATCATGAGTTCAAGGAACTGGAGCAAAATTGCTAAGTGCTATAACAGATGTTATATACAGTTACACATTTGCTAAAACCACACTAAAGTCAGTACATGTCATCAGAACCATCCAGATGTTAATATTTGGCATTATGATTTATGAAATGGATTGCAATTGGTTACGTATATAAGCTCAGACTATTGCTGCTTTTACATGTAACAGCACTGCAGTATCAACATGGATGCCCAGTCAAAGACAGTATACACAGTCTCTACATAGATTTTATTCCGTCATCATGAATATAGGAACGTGGCGATTTGGGTAACAGAGCGAAGTGCACACATGTCATAACGTATTGTGTCATTCATGCGAAAATACCAGCTGATGTATGAGCAGGTTTCTCAGAACAGTTAACTTAATCTAAACGTTTAAAGAGTCTTGGCAAGTTTCAAATATAATCGCTCGGAAGTAATTACTGTACGTAGGCAGAAGCTTACACAACGATATTTCACAGAAAGACCTTGAAAAGAAGTACAGTTAATTCACGCGAATCTTAATGACAACCTCCCATATAGCCAGAACTTACAAGCTAACTTAATAGCGTTCTACCGAAATAATCACCGTTTGGAAATCCCAGAGTGCTAATATCCGTTTTTTCCTATTTCTGTACATTCTTACAATGTGCACAAAAACAACCTGAAACTGTTATTGGTTGGCATTTAACTCCCATGTGGGCAGTCTTGTTCTTTGTCCATATGCTCCAAAATACATTATTTTTGCAACATGACCATGCTGATGAGATAATAGCTACATGTTTGTGTAAAATTCTTTTGACAAATGGGAGACGGAAAATATGGGTTGCCAATTTCAGCAAAAACAACCACAGTTTTCCATGAACCTGCATTTGGTTGAAAAAACTTTCTTGACTTCAACAGTCAATATTCATGTTTGAAGTGTTTGGTTTTCCTGGAATATGTTTAATGTGTCTAATGGGTCATTCACAATGTATACTTTACGAAAGGCAATACAATGTTTCATAATATAGTTCTCTTTACAAAGAAGTTGTGTCGTGATGAAACAATATTTTAGCTATGTTTTCAGCCTATGTACGCGAACATTGGCCCTGGGGTCCAGTGAATTGGCCGACCGCCCGGAATGTTGGAGATTGCTGATTCCTTTTGTTGTTGTCCGAATGTAACAAATGATATTATGCCATATGGTTGTATATTTTCTGTTCATCCACTTAGGTCCACCAGTGTTGAGTACATCTGATATGTGTTTGACAGTTGGTTATTGATTTTGATATTTACTGGGTGTTGCTATAAGAGTTTACAAAACATATCAAATTACATTCCTGACGAATGCATTTAAAGTATGTAATAAAATTTTAAACGTACGCTTTGCTCTTTGATCTTTGTATATGGCACTCACTAGATAACAGTTTGGCGTGATACATTTTCTGATATTGCTAACGCCTTTGTTGAATCTCTTTGAACTTTCTGTGAGTCACGTCGTTCATTGACGTCTTTCTGATTTACTCCATTTTTCTTTCAAGTAAACTCATGTTTTAAAATGTACAAATGCATTCAGAGCATTAGATTTTCGAAAATCAATGCTAACTAAGTGGCATTGTTTCTATGCCAGATTGTTGGTGGTGGGAAATATCTTGAAAGCGTGAAACTTGATAACTGTGTTTCGGTATTTGGTATTGATTACCGAGGTTTCGAGTACAATTCGTGAAATGTGAAATCTAGTATTTCAAAGGAAGTAGGGATGACAATAAATATACTTTGGGCAGTTTTAGATACAATGAAATAAAAGACATTTTACACCAAGTGATTGTAGCTTAATGGATTCAGAAAAATGTCACTATGTTAGTCTGGTTTTCACTGTTACGATGACACTCATGTGCTTGGCGAATAAAACGACAAAAATAATCCAACGTTCAACTGGAATACAAGATAGTTGTGAGTAAACCAATTTGTTTTTTAATTTGAAGCTTCCAATTAGCTTGTTACTTCTAAAAGACATTAATACCCAGAAGGCGTTGAATTTAGAGTTTCAGAAAATGTTTGGTGGAGTAAAACTTAATTTCAATTATTTAAGCATAACAGCTTTAACGGAGCATCCCGTCCGTTGCCGATCGACAAGTAAGTGGAAATTGAACATAATACTGAGCAATATCCCAGCTATGTCATGTGGTCCAGTAAAATAACCCGGGTTTGGGCCTAATCGATTGATACCTTTAAGTATCGCGCCAAAACATTACAGCGTGGCGTCACGTGTCTTTGAAATAAAAACCATGTGAAACGTCGTCGGTTAGCAATGACAGTTCTGGACATCCAATACCCAAGACAAGACGACATGACAAACGCACATTACACATCCTTCAATTACTTGTTTGAAGTAAAAGATTCTCAAATCTAACAGCCTCACGATTTTGTACATTTTACCCAATCCCATGTTACCAGCTCTCGGTTATGAATATTACATGTTCTGGAAATGTTCCAGTCGTGTCACGCAAACTGTACATTGTAACCACCGTAATGGTATTTTGGTTATCGATTCCACGGCGCTGTTGATCCTCTCAGGTTAAAATGGGGTTAAGACATTAGAGAAATAACGTTCTAGGTATATTGCAAACCATTTTTTCCAAGACTAGTGGAGAATGTAAATTCCACAGAAACACTAAGAATGCCAAAGAACACAAAGACCAGTCCCCTTGAATCTAATAAAGTCATAAATAATTCAGTTGTTTGAAAGAAATTCAATTATTCAACGTAAAGAAATGCTCTGGCTTAAATTATTCAAAGCAGTGTTTTCTTGGCGGAGACGTAACCTTTATGGAGCCGTAAATGAAAACCAAATTGACACTTTTAATTGAAAATGTGTTCCAGAAAATACAGTGTGAAACGCGTTGTAGTCACGTGTTCAGCAATTTATGACAAGTTCCAAATACACACAACGCGCCGAAGTGTCAAACACTGGACAAATAGTTCAAGACCTGTGGGAAAATGCAGACGTTGTGTAAGAACTATGTGAATCTGTAAGTAAAACTTCTGGGACAATCCAAACTATTAGTGGATGAGAGCAATTGTGTTTACAACGGTCATGCTTCATTCACATGACTAACATTAAAGTTATGGTACAATTATCTTGCAAAATATTGTAAACAATGGTCTTAGTGCTTTCACCCTCATTATTGTCTTATGACCATAAACCTGCAAGATGGATGGTGAGCTTCCTCAGGACTCGATTGATGTGTCCATCATTAGAATGTTTATGTATGCTGAATGGTGTTTATATCACTACCCACTAACCTTGTATAATTCAATGATTTTCTTTCATGTGGTCAGTAATTATTATATATGACTCTAGGATGTAAGGTAAAATATCATTCTCTAAAATGGTAATGGACCTCAGTCCTATGAATATATCTATGACTATTCATCTGACACTGTAAACCTTACCAATGTATATGCCAGCTACTTACCATATACTTCCTTTAAAGAACGCTGAAATTAGTTTTTATTATTATTTCTTGCAAATAGATGGAACGTACCTATCTTAACATGGTGCTATTTCAGCAATCATAACAAGGGAAGTGACTATGAGGAATATTTATAGTATGTTTTAATTTACAATTCAAATTACATTTTCACGTCGTATAGGTGTTGTAGGTCACACAGTTTCATTAAAAAGGATCAAAATCGACATGATTTCTTTCACAATATTCTGACCCCTGCAAAGTACGTCTCGCTGAGTGCATAGTGTCCTCGACATCTTAAGAGTTACCGGAGACTGTGGGGAAGAGTGGTTGTTGTAATTTAGGTGATTACTAAGCTTACATCCATCAACTTTGTCCATTCAGTGACTCAGGCAATTCAGCTTAATGAAAAATCTTCCCATCTACACTGCGTGTCCTGGTTGCACTTTGCCAAAACAGGCCTATTGGTCAATACACAGGAATTAACTCTTTGTGAAGAACCGCTAGACAAGAACTCTGCAGATCACTACACACGTGTCTGTTTCATTTTACTTTTCATTTTACAACAACACAATTGTGTAAAACGTATTTCACTAATGAAACAATTTTTTGGCAGCGGTAATTATGCTTTCACATTAAAAGAAGTTTATGTATTTACATTGGTGCATGAGGCTGATACAGACACTGTATTCATGTAGTATCTTGATCCGTTGGGGAGGTATATGCACGTGTTACAAAAATGCCGAGCCCTGCGCGTTCTCTGTTCAAGTGAGTGCTGGCAGAATATAGTTGAGAAGGAATTTACACCAATATCACGGCGCTTGAGGCCAGAGATGATGTGGGGATTCGAACCCAGGTCTTAGACGAGACGAGCGAACGTTGCACTACCTTCTATTGTAAGCTCCAAACCTCGGTGGTAAAAGACGAGTGTAATACAAGAATATACAGTTGAGCACCGTTGCCTCGATATTCATGGGACCAAGAAAAAATATCGAGTTAGAAGGACATTTAATATAACCAAATGATAAAACATGTTCATTATTACCTTGCGGCAATATAAATACGACTGTTGTTACTAGATGTAGGTTGATGTTTCCTCCATCAGTTCATACTGAGTGCGTGCGTGAATGAGTACTAGGATTTGGACTGTTTTTCGCATAATATAAGAATAACAAGAAGATTCCATTTGACACTTCAAAGGCATTAGGCACATTGTCACAGACATATGAAACCAAAGTTTACCAATGCAAAACAACATACCAACAATATGAGAGCCGCTGGAAGACATCACGTAGAAATTCATTTTGTTGCTTTACATCTCCACCAGCGAGTGTTCATACAGTCAGAAAATGTTTAAAAAATCTCATTTGTTTTGGCTTTGAGTTACTGAACTGTGATATTGACACTGTGGTACTATATGAGGCAAACGACTTTGTCCATTGTCTAGCATCCTTCTTCTGCTTCATGTCCTAATAAAAAAACTGAAAAAATAAATTAAATTGCCAATGAAAATCATCCCTCCTCGAATCTGATTGCATTATCAACTTCAACGATGTCCCTGGAAGAATCGAGAGTTGAAAGGCCATATCGACCTTGAGGAGTACACTGTCTATACATGCCAAAGCATACTACGTTCAAATGACTCTTCACAATCTTATTTGAAATTTATTACGAAGCCTTTACTTAACTACAACCTCTTTACACATGCAATGCTCTTTGATCTTTGCAAACATCATTAACTAGATTAGACTCATTATCTTTCCCGATACAGCTAGCACCTTTGTTACATTCCTTTGAACCTTAGGTGAGCCATAGCATTTATTGATCTCTTCGATTGACTTTATGATTCCTTCAAGCAAACTTTATCTGTTAAAAGATATTTTCAGATCATATTTTACATGGAGGGTATTCTAAAATTGTATTCGAAAAATGTGTATTGGATATCGACTTTTTGAGTGTTTGTTAGATGTTTAATCTAACATTTGAAAGGAAATGGGAGGACGAAATACTTTCAGATACACTGCCAAATCAGAAACACGAACCTAGTCCCTTATACATAATTGATACCTGCAAGTATGAATAAACAATTAATGTCTGCCTTTTATATCATCAGAAAGTGGTCAAATACAATACATGTTATATTTAGGATCACACTTTCTCAACTGGGTCTGAGTTCTTTAGATAGCTGACTTAGTGTGCTGGCGATAAAGTGCCTTACACTGAGAGCTTCCCGGATGTGACTCAGACCCTTAAAGTAATAGAATCTATACTTTGCTGAGAAAGTGTAATCTGAAATATAACAAACCGGATTTCTGTCCCATGAAAATAATAGTTCGAACATACGACTGGAATGTAACAGTTATCGCACTGAGGTTAATAGTTTTGATACTTCGGATTTGTTTGAATATCCTATAGATATTGATCATCATATTTTACAAAATGATTGATGAAGAGCGACATCCAGCATTTTCAAGATATTGAGAATACAAAAACACAATATCTCATAATCGCAAGTATTAGAAATTACACTTTGTTGGTGTTAGAGTGTATATAATTTATCTCCTTTCAGGTAGTTATGAATTACATGTGATGATAGATATCATTTTTGTCACACGAAATGTACATTGTAATCAAAGGACTTATATTGTGGTATCAGTTTCATTGAGTTGTTTTATTATTTCCGGTTAATTGTGTTTATGACCTGAAAGAAATTAAATTATTCCAAGGTTAGAGAATTAGGAAAATACATAAAATGTTCATTGTGCACCTTAAATGTAATAGGAGATGAGTACCAATACCTTTTTAACTGTCAATACTTTAACGAAATAAGAAGCAGGTTTATTCCTAAAAGGTTCATTACAAATCCCTCAATATTTAATATGATTAATATGACAAAAAATGGATCCACTTTAATAAGACTGTCCATATTTTGCCGCCACGTGTTATGTAAATTCAGATTAAAACTCCATCATTGTATTATTCATGTACATGATATCAATGTATGTACTTAACCATGTATACTCCCGTATGCAGTTATTATATATCTCTTGTAAACCTCCTCATGCTACATTGTAGCCTTGAGTGAATAAAGTAAGTAACATCCACATACACGCCATGAGGTACCAAAACGAAGGTCGGCCTCAACCTTTTGAGGTGTGAAACAGTTTGTCAGCCGTGACAAGCGTGGGCAGATTTGATTACTGAGTGAACCGAGGAATGTTGATTAATTGTATTAATTAGGTATATTCTGTTAAACAAATCAAACATAACATAACAAACATCGATAATTATCGACGAATGTTTACTTGTTTAACATCCATCTTTCCTGCAAGAGTTCATAAAAGGTTATATGAAGCTGTTTAATAATGTGTAGTAATAACGTGGTCCAATTACTGGATTAAGAAGTATATTTGCAGCATCATGACCCGTTCCTTGTTTGAAATGTTGTTTGAAATAAGATGTCTTGCATGGCAACAAGCAGTTGTGCATTATACAAAAAAACCAAAAACATATAGAAATATGTTTTAGGCATGACTAAGGTCATGTAGAGTTCTTTCTTTATAAACATCTCTAATTTAACATATTTCTGATAAAAATGAACATTATTATGAAAACACCTGAGAGGTATAGCGTGTTTGTTTCCCAGTTTGCACACATTCAAAATCATCCGTTCACGCCCTGACGGGTACAAGCAACCAATGTATCCAAGTGTGTAGACTGTCAAAAATGGTTCTCGTTCCATAAGAACTATATCATGTCAACAGTTGAAATCCCTGCCTTGTGAGCACCAAGCACTGACGTGGGGAAATAACTAACGGCAGACAGACATTAATTGTTTTGCACGGTAGTCTGACCCCTGGAAAAGACATCTAGCTGAGTGCGTTGCGACACTGACATCTTAAAATGTGTCGGGGGTCGTGGAAGCGTGGATTCTGTAATCTAGATGACTACTAACCCTTCATCCATCAAATTGTTCCCTTCAGTAACTCAAGCAATTTAGCTGAAATTGGACTTTCTCCCAAAATACACCAACGCTTGTATTCGAACAACAAATCAACAGAACGACGTGCGTGCCATGGGTACGCTTTGTCAACACTGGGCGATTGGTGTACCCACAAATAGCCATTCCCGGCAGCGACGCCAGCCGAAAATAGTAGATCATGATACACGTTATAATTAATATACACTACGTCTTGCAGACTGACAGTGCAACAACAACACAATTTTGTGTTTAATTCCCCTGTGTGAAAATTATACATTTCGCTAATTAGAGAACTTTAAATTTATCGCAGTGTTTGCAAACTGAATTGAGAAAAAGCGTTTGGATCTACGTCTGTATGTGAGTCCGAAGCAGGCTCTGGAAGGCTTAATCCAATGAAGAAGATATTTGTAAGGTACTTCAAGAAATAACCAAGAGTCATATCCACAATGAAGAGTAATGCTGTAAGTTGTTTTGTCGTGGTCTGTCTGTACGTCATTCGCGATTGTTTCACTGTAAGTTTCACTATAAGCATACTTTGTGCTTTCTTGTGAGTAAGTATGGTTTTATACAGCCTTCAGTGACTACTTGGATTTAAGCGTTCTTTTCTATTTCCCAGCAGGTTACAGCCGGTCAGCTCCTCTTTAAGTGATATTTTATTTAAATCAGTGGATTGCGGTTAATTGTAATAATCGATTATATACAATAACCCTTATATAGTTATATCAGAAAGAAAAAACAAACTGAGTAACAATAAGATATAGGGATGAACAACCTCTTTAGTTACAATGCAGTTGTTTAAACATATAACTTAACATATTTACTTCTCTAACTTCTAAATGCTTCCTATAAAGCAACCTGTTTGAACAGATTTAATACATTTGTCTTGTGCTGTGGCATGGTAAAGTCGTGTGCACGAAACTACTTCCAATATTGATTCTTTCGACAACAAAACAATGCTCTTCTGATTCTAACTGATATCACAATCTACACTAACTTGACGATGTCAACGTGTAGGCATCCTAATCTGACATCTGAAGTAAAGTTCTTCCGTAAACGATACTGAATTCCTGGGTTAATCTTGTTTTGCCAACTATGGTTGAAGGTAGAGACAGTTTATTGAGGACACCACCGTGCTTTAATAACATGATATTGACACTGATTCAAAATGGAAAGCCAAATTATTTCGCATAAGGACATCAATCGATGTTGTTTCATTGTCGATGATAACCAAGATAAAATTAAGAAAGCAAAATCGGGTATAGCGCGAATAGCGGCATCCCTTAATGTGATATATATTTCGTGATTAAATGATTAAGTGATTAAATGATTTTACGCCATGGGGACCAGTGTCCGAAGTTGGAAAATACCAGATCGAGTGAAGTCAAATATCCGATGGTGCGCAGTAAGATCAGGTCAACTCTCGGGGTTTACTCTCGCTCGTGTTTATCCAGCATCATTTATTGAATAAATAAATATATTCTACGATAATGTAAGTCTTTACTAAAAGGCCAAAGGACATGGTGCTTGTGAAGTTCTTCATCATGCCACATTTTGTTTGACGACCGCCTGTCGTTCAGCACGTTTACGCGATTCAACACATTTCCCCACCCTTACCTGTCTCGTTGTGATGCCATGTGTGAGCGTTGTGTAACCAGTTAATCTCAGAATGTGATGGTAAGCCATTTCAGCCACATTTCAGCTGTTAACGGATCAGTTTCACAATCTGGACCGATGTAGAACAAACGAACCTGTGACTTTTGAATGAATTTTAGTAAAATACTGGCCATCAGACCCCTTATTTCACAAGAGGGCACATAGATAACGTCAGAACCCATAAACATATCTTCCTTGAATTAGGAGAACAGGAACAGGTGCATGTCATCTAATTCCAACTGCGGAGAACGAATCTCGTGACGCCAATCACTTGACGGTCTGTCTGTCCTCACTAGACACAGCGACGTCATTGCGGAGTGGGGCGTTCAACGACAAAATAATCAAACAAACATCAACATA